CGTGCGGCACCAATCACGAATGAATATCTACTTCGTCCTCGGCACGTCGCCTTGCAACCCCGACTTGACTCCTGTCAAACTCCTACCAACTAGTGCTGTACTGTACTGTACTGCACTATACTGTAGTGTACTGTAGTGTACTGTACTGTAGTCTAGTGTAGAACAACACCCACTTTCGAACCGCCGTACAGATGCTGCCTGCAGCACGACCATGCTGTAAACCCGCATAAAGGTCGTTCTCAATTACAACCTTGAACATCACGTCTGTCTGCCCAACCTTGGCCGCGGCAATGATGACAATCTGTTTAAATCCGATCTCCTCACAAAGAACTAATACTTTGTGCGATCGCATATACACCTTGTCATGAGTGCACTTGACGACAGGTCACGTTCCGTTACAGCATTGTTGTTTTAACGACATATCTACCACGTGCTGCGTGTGGCAGTCATCACGAACGTGGTAGGAACATTAATACAAACTCACAAAGACTTTTAACACAGAAAGACTACCCATAGAGCAGAAAAAATAAAAATAATAAGAGCAGAGCACTTGGTCCACATACGTCATGCGTTCTGCAACACAGAGTCCACTCCTGCCCAACTCCCACCTCAACTACTACTCTACATTTGTGGTGTACAACACGCAGCTTCGAACCGCGTAGAGATGTTGCCTGTAGGGTGTCCTTCCTACAACCAGCTGGATATCAACGACCGCCTGGCTACCACAAACAAGTGTTACTCTTCAGTTGCCACGGACGTACCTCAAATTTCGTTTGTTCACGGCTGCCACAACCAACGACACGCGCATTTGTTTTTCTCTTCGAGACTTCGCGCCAACCCCGGACCCGTGCACCCAACATCTAATTGTGGTCTACGCAGTGGACGTTTCAAATGCTACACTATCGTCTGCATTTGAGATGCGTTTCTCTTCATCATGGAGAGACAGTATTATCGACGCCGAAATCCCGTCATGATACTGTCCGACATTCATCCGCCATCCATCACTACTGTCTTGCCACGGGGAGTCTGGCAACCCGCCCCATTGGTGGGCGGGGGGCCAATCGTTGCCCCTAGGAACAATATAGCGCGAAAAAGTAGGCGCGGAGAGAGAAACGCAACCGGCTTGGATATATATGGATGGAGCCTCACACAGAGTCCACCACTGTCACTGCACACGCAAACACCTCGCCCGATGCCTCCAGTCAGCCGTGTACGCAGGACTGCTGCTGTGTAGGAGCGCGGGGAGGAGTGAAGGTGTTGTTTGGTGCGGACGAGGCTCTCATCAATCGGCAGCTTGCTGTTGGGTGTATGGATGTGCACCACTTGCTTCCCTCGCTTTCGCTTATAGCAACGGCAACGGGCGGTAAAAATGCCCCCCGGCGCCTCCATGTGTGTACTTCGTCGCTCTTGGCCTAATGCGTTGTGGACGTCCCGTCGGTTCTTTGTGTGGGGTGCGTCTCTTAGTTGTGGATCAAAAGATCAGCCTGTGCAGTTGTTTCCCTCGCATATTCGCTGCTGACAATAGGCAGCGGGCTTCAAAAAGCTCTCCCGATGCCTCATGTGATGTGTTCCTTAGGCCGCTCTTGGCCTGCAGCAGTTTGTACGTCTCATTGTCGCTTGCGTCGCTTGTGCTGCCGACAGCAGGCAACGGGCTCTGACAGTCGCACCGTACGCCTCCTATGATTTGTTCCTTTGGCTGCCCTTGGCCTACAGCAGTCTCGTGTGCTGTTGTGTTGTCTATGTGTGTGTGTGCTGCTGCTGCTGTGCCGTGTCTTTCGGGGGATTCCCCTTCGGCGGCATGACCATCAGCCGATCATCCGTCGCTATCCTACAAAATTTCCCACATGATGGACATGTGATTGGTGGGTGGGTATTTACCCGGCTCTACCCCTCCAAATCACAGGTGTTTTGTTTGTGTTTTTCCGGTCCTACAAACAAATTGCCCAACGTATGGGCCCGCTGCCAAGCTTTTGGTTAGGTATCTGAAGCATTAAGACTCGAGAACAGCTGCCACTACATCGGTAGGATTCATCTATAGAAATTGATTTGAAGTTTTGAAGCTACCGTGCCTGTGAGCTCGTTCATGGATAGATATTCTAGCAACTGTAGCTTGGTGAGAGCTCCTAGCTCTGGCGGAATGGGGCCTTGAAGCGCAAGAGCAAGGCGGAAATATCGAGGAATTGCCAATTTGTATTCCAGGCTTCAAGAACATGGCCTACTCACCCACGCGATATTCGTTCGCCGGAAATCCAACAATGCCGGAAACGTGCATGTATCTACAGGAAAGATACCACGGCAGCTAGGAGATGTTCGCCGCTTGGAGAAGCTCGAACTCGTCGGGAACAATTTGGACGGTGAGTTTGGGAGGTATGGCGGCGTAAATTATCTGTTTCAATTCGATAGGAAATGCGTATTTGGGTGGAATTAGATCCTGTTGTGTTCTTGGGAGAATCTCAAGTTTCGCAGTAGACTGGTCGCGGAGGTGATAGCTCTGTGACCCATAGCGAGAGAGTCCGCCCGGGGATTGATATTTTTGTCCTACGATTTGGGGATGAAGTTCCCGTGCTGAACGATCTGTGACCCGTCGGTTCTGTTTTGCAGGGCCGATTCCGACGGAGGTGGTGAACCTCCGTTACTTCGACAAATTCAACACGGGGGTTCTGGATGCTGAATCCTCGCGTCTCCCTACCGGGACGGTGATGTTACAGGTTTTCTTCGGATATTTAGACTTGGTCTCGGACCTCTACACTGCGGTTTCCTACTACGAGTCGGGCGACTCGTTTTGGTTTACGCTCGTGCTTGCTTTTGCCCTCGGACCGGGCATCATCGCGTCCGTATTTTTCCTCACCCCCACCATAGTTCGGGTAAGGGTTCCGTGGGTACGTCGCGTCTTGGTAGCGACTCAGCTGAGCTTGCTAGTGGAAGCCTGGAGGAACGTGGCGAAGCGGAGATTCACGCCTATCCTAGAAGTTGTACGCCTCATTGAGGCACTCTTCGAGTCGGTACCCCAGTTGCTGCTGCAGTTGTACGCAGCCCTGCTTCTTTGGTCGTCTCCCGAGCGAAATGTTCTGCGTTTAGGTTCGGTGTGCATCTCGGCGGGGAGTTTAGCGTATAACGCAACCGATCTTTTCAGCGCAAAGAGGCTTGAGCGCTGTAGCGATCCACTCGAAGGCGGTATTTGCCCGTGCTGTTCGTGGCTAACCGGACTACCTTTCAGCCGCGTGCCGGAGAAAGGTTCTTCGAGGTTGAACGGATGGGGCGACGTGCACCCTCGCACTCATGTGTGGCTCTGCTTGCTGTACCACATCCTGGAGATCGTTAGCCGCTTTGTCCCCCTCGCCATGTTGGCATTGGTGATGCGTAAGTGGTTTTTCTTGGTGCTGCCGTATCTGTGGTGGAGCCGGTACGCCGTGAGAAAGAAGGCGGCGGCCTGGACTAGGAAGTCGACGAGAGAAACAGACAAGGCTAGGCCCCGTAAATCTGTTACAGAACGAGTACGAGTAAAACTGGTCGCCATGCCCTTCTTGGACTCCGTCATGGACGGGTCCGCGGCGTTTGGGCTCGGACTGGTGGTGACCCTCGTGGAGTTCATCGTGTGCGTGGTCATTTACCACTTGTACAACCACGATGATCTTCCCACGAACTTGCGGCTGGGGCTCTATGTGGTGGCAAGTTCTTGCATGGTTGGCAAGCTGCTCCTGGCCGCGTTGGCGATATTCCCACTCCGTGCTGACGAAGATGGCCCCGGCATTTTTGGCAGCGCAGTTGCAAGCAGCAGCGGTTCCGCACTCGGTGGGCCGAGCGAGACGGTTGGCGATGTCGATGAAGGAGTTGTAGCATTGGCCAATGTGATGGAGATAGATGAGGGTAAGGTTGATGAGCTAGAACGACCTTCTGGAACCCCGTTGGCGGGTGCATCTGCTGCTGCAGTCTCCGAAGCGGTTGAGGGGGGACTCGACGGCGACGTTGAGAATGCGCTGATTTCTGAGAGGGCACCCTCGGAAGGAATGCGTCTGCCACCTACCACGCATGCGTTGTCCACCCCATCTCCCAACGGTCTCGCTGTGGCGACGAATGCAGCAACGGGGGATGCCCAGGGAGACAACGGTGAAGTGGGAGGCAACGGTGACCAGTTGTCGTAGATGGCTCCTTGGTTTGGATGACCGTGCGCCTGATACACTACATGGTCTTTCTGCAGCCGCGACAAAGCTTCCGGGACCTATGTTGGCATATTTGGCGCAGAGATTTGGCGCAAGCTCGCTTGCAGTTCAAGTCGACTGGGTACGCCCCGTTGTGACGGCAGCAGCGGCCCGCAGGCGGTAGGTAGGGTGGCCTAGGGGGCGATGCCGACGGACCGCCCTGAAGAGGGCATGAGAAAGTGTGACAGGGTGTTGTGATGACGACAGGGGTCAAGCCCGTGTTCGCTCTTCTGTGTGTGGTGCTGTTGGACGTCACGATCAGTGAGAATATTTGGGTGATAGGCAAGCAACGCGAGCGGTAGGCAGTGCGGCCAACGGGGCGTGCCAGAGGACTGCCCTGAATAGACCATGAGCAAGTGCGACAGGGTATTTCGTAGCGACTATAGTCTAACCCGTTTTCGCCTGTGGTGTGTGGTGCTGCTCGTCACCGTCAGTGGAAATATTGGCGTTAGGCGAGCAACGCGAGCGGTAGGTACTGTGGCCAACGGGGCGATGCCAGCGGACTGCCCGAAGTAGAGCATAAGAAAGTGTGGCAAGGTGTTGTGGAAGGGACTGAAGTCAAGCCCGTGTTAGCTTGTCTGCGTGCTGTGCCGCTGGTCAACGTCAGTGAGAACAATGATTTAAGCCAGCAGCGCTCTAGACACGAGCAACACAACGCGAACAAATATTTACTTTTGAGTGAAGGCAAGTCATGAACTGTTGAAACCAGTCGTTCCCATTTCCTGGGAGCGAAGGCAGTTGTAATCTGGGAGTGCAGGCATTCATTACCTGCGAGCGAAGGCAGAATAAGGGGGGGCTACATCCTCGACGCACCGGCTTGGTGCAGACAAGTGGGCCCGAACATTTTGTGGCTGTTTGGCCAGCCTCATATTGGGCACGGTGATGATGGCGTTGGTGGGCCTTGCGGACTTTCATGCTGAACCTGAGTCAGTTTGAAGCGCAATCTCCATTCATTTCGCGCTACACGCACACATATCTTGATGTAGCCAGGCGCTGCCTTCCAGTGCGCCCTTTTCGTGGAGGAACGGTCCCGTGCAATACGTTGAGGAAGTTGTGGTTACAGTACTCGGTCCCCTTGAGCTGTTCTGCCGTGTTCGTGTTGCAAGTCACACCTGAGCACCTTGCGCACTCAACTCACGAATAGGGGCGTCATTTCGATCCTTGGTGATGTCGGTAACGTCCGAAAGCTTTACAATCTAACTTGAAGGAGGCCAATCTTGATTCACTCTACTCTGTACTCTGCTGCCATCCCTTCGACAAACGTTAGCGTGGAAATCGTTGTACACAACCTCTCATAGTATGATGCGAAGTATCTTCAACTGTCGAACTTTAGCTGCCCAACAAACCTCGTCAGCAAGATCATCTCATTTTCTCATCGGTGGTCGAGTAGATTATGTTGTGCGGGGTCGAGAACCCTCACTCCGCACAAGGGGGATAATCGCACGTTGTGTTAAAATGGTCAAGCACCCTCGAGGCAGCTACACAGCGCTTAAACTGTCTCTGGAAGTGAAAGCATCAGAGAACAAATTAAGCCATACGCAGCTGTCACCCGTACGCAAGGAAGCAAGCAGCACAAGATGCCGAACACCTCACTGCTTCGCGCTTGGTGATGTGAAAGCCTGGTCCGGTGATAACCCGGCGTGCTCCGTCCCGGCTTTCTAGGGATGCGAGGTCAATGGTCTAACGACTACGGCATGCACGACTATGAGTACCCCCCCCCCCCCCAAACTGGCCACAACGGTCCCCTCTTTCCCCCAGCAAGTCGATGATCCTTGTGACGCGCCCATCCCCAGTAGTCACGCCTGTATCTGCCAACCGTTGTTGCGAAAATCCTAAACCACTTCGTCAGTTGCGCAAGCTGTCTCCGACGGCCTGTTTCACACCACACATCGGTCGTACCAAGTGTCCTTCCACGTTCCACAACCACACTGCTAGACTTGCACAACATTATTCTCATCGAGATCAAACAGCACCAGAACCGGCTATCTACATGCCCCTCACCCGGCCATGGAGTGCGGTATTCCCATAGACAAGCATCTACAGTATTTCCTACCCGCCGAATCCTACCAGGCAGCAATGTTGTCCTTCGTACTACAGTTTATAAGTGACGAGTATGCAGTTCCCACGCAACACATCACCCCGCTCTCCTTGTGGTGTGTCGAACATGTCCTGACATCATGCGAGCTGGNGTATTCCCATAGACAAGCATCTACAGTATTTCCTACCCGCCGAATCCTACCAGGCCGCAATGTTGTCCTTCGTACTACAGTAAGTGACGAGTATGCAGTTCCCACGCAACACATCACCCCGCTCTCCTTGTGGTGTGTCGAACATTTCCTGACATCATGCGAGCTGACCGCGCAGCGAGCAGGAAACACGGGCACCCTAACCCTACATGCTTCTGGTTGGTCATCATAAGTGCCCCCTTCCACATTAAACCTCTCGAATACACGTCAAACATATGTCACGACCCGCCGAAAGGGTCTGAAACAAACGAAGGGGAGGAAATAATCGAATTTCGAGTGGCAACCCAAGACTGGAAGGAGTGATGACGGATGGTGGTTTCACNGTGACGAGTATGCAGTTCCCACGCAACACATCACCCCGCTCTCCTTGTGGTGTGTCGAACATTTCCTGACATCATGCGAGCTGACCGCGCAGCGAGCAGGAAACACGGGCACCCTAACCCTACATGCTTCTGGTTGGTCATCATAAGTGCCCCCTTCCACATTAAACCTCTCGAATACACGTCAAACATATATTCTATCACGACCCGCCGAAAGGGTCTGAAACAAACGAAGGGGAGGAAATAATCGAATTTCGAGTGGCGCAACCCAGGACTGGAAGGAGTGATGACGGATGGTGGTTTCACCANGATCTGTTTGCGAAGACAACGAGATATGCGGACACTAGCCAACTGAACAACGAAAAGGCCGACNCCTCCGCCACCTTTGGTATGATGTCTGCCGAAACGATCGGCACTGTGCAGGCAATGTTCTTGTTGCTTTGGTTTTGTTTGTTGTCTTACCTCGTGCCCTATCGAGTTCGCGAAGCACGCCAACAAGCAATGTGTCCTAGACGCCCCTCCGCACAACCCTGCCTGGAACCTGGAACCTGGAATTCTCGTCCTTTTAGCACTTCTCGGCGATTCAACCAGACGTGTATTCCATTCTCTCATGCTCCGGATCCAAACCGTTGGCAGACCTGCCGCTTGGGGGAAAGGATTCGTTTCGATCTGTTTGCGAAGACAACGAGATATGCGGACACTAGCCAACTGAACAACGAAAAGGCCGACTGGAGACGATGCATATCATGGCCCGCTTCCAAGGGAAGCCGTTGACGCTGAAATTGGTAATTTCGACGTCGACTACATGGGGCTTCAGCACCACCCCCGTCGACAAGAAAATCACTGTCTTGGTCAACACGCAGCCAACGGCCGATATGCTGAACCAGAGGCAGCAGGTGAGCCCAAACCTGTGCCTCAGCAGGGCAACGAACACCGGCTGCTCGGTGATGGCGCTGGACAACACTATTGCTGGGTACGCCGGATCGACGTGTCATGGAACCTCATCGAGATGCTTCACATGGGGACCAGGGTGTCGGACATAAAGCCGGCAGGACAGTGCAGCAAGAGTGGCAGGACGAGGAAAACAGGCGGCGTAAAGAGGGCCAGGGACGGCTGCATTCAAGGCGCGAGGGCGCAGTGATCGTCACGACTCTGCGATGTACATTAGTTTGGCGAGCAGAGCTGGAAGAAACAAATGTACTGCTGCTGTGTTGGTACTGTTGTACCACGGCACTGCCATGGAATGGGCAGTTACGTGGCGATCTCGGTTGGGTTCCCCTCGACCTCGCTACGGCATTCAGTGGCGCTTTTCTCGAAATTTCCCCCTAGCACGAGGCGTATGTTCGGGTGGTCTCCCTCCCCGTCTCTTGGAAACCCCGGAGGTATGTAGCTGTTCACCCTGTGTCGCACACAACAGAATTGTCGGATATCGGGGTAGCCCGCGCCGCGACGTCGGTGTTGGCGGGCGGCGACTACGCTGAACTGCCTGCGAAGGCGCCACGGCCTGGAACTCTTCATACCGCCGCACGCACTTTCTCGATGCCTGTGGCCCTCTACACGGCAGGATGAATGTCCAGCGGAGCCCCCTCCGCTGTGGGAGAATCCCCATTCGAATCTCCGCAAACAGATCAGCACACCACGTATGTACACAGCGCCCACGCTTTACCTTGCGATGATAATGAGATAATGATTGTCAAGGCGTGGCAAATTGCCAGCTCCGCGTTGATGAATGTCTTGAAAATCCGCTCGAAAATGTGCAGGTAGATTATCGCCGAACTGACCGTGGCCGACACAAGCCTGAGGGTGCCTACCAGCAGGCAGCCAACGGGTCGATAAGCGACGTACAAGTTTCGGTGTCGGCAGGGTGTCTGTATGGAGGACGGGAGGTTATGGCTGTTGTGTATGGCCAGGGCTCGATGCGCGACGAGGATACTGCGTTGGATGCCTGCCCGGCGACAATGTCAATCAACGACCTTTTCATAGCTAGCTTTGGCTGAGATTGAGAAAAATACTTGCAATAATCGAAACCCGAATATCATCGTGGCACCAATGCCTTTGGGGACAAGCTTCGTTCCGAAAAGGTTTGTCGTTCGGCAAGCCAAGTCTACCAGCTAAAATTCATCGTCGTGAGGAGCCTTTCGTCGGCGGTCGCATCAGGTTCGAGGCAGCCCTCTTGGCAACAACCGTATGTCCGTCCTGTTGAACGGGTCCTGCGCCCTGGTGACGGTGATGATGCGGGGAAGAATCGCGGTGAGGGTGAGCAGAGAGCAATCGGGGTAGAGGTGAGTTGCAGGAGTCAGGTTACGACGTTCCTCCTGTGTCGGATGTCCATACGACGGAACCTTCTGCGCCGAGGCCACGCCAAGACGAAGGACGCAACCCAGTAGCCGAGGCGAAACGCCATGGACGACACGCGGGCCACCACGGCGAAATCGTGTTGTGTGGGCTCTTGGAAGAGAGGCAACATCTTCCGATAGACGACGCGGTGTACCTGTCCTGATGGGTGTAGCAGCACACTAGTGTCACGGGCAGAGGGGAACAAGAATATTGTAGGCACATCACGGCTCTCACCACTCCCGGCAAAGGCGTAGAGAAACTACAGCGATCCCTAGTGCCGATATTCGTGTCAAGAGTACGTCGAGGCTCTCTGATAGGCTGGGGTTGCCCAAGACCAACGAGTCGAATGTTTTGGTATGTACAGACTCCATCGCAGTCTTTGCGGCCGAAAGAAGGGATGAATTGTAGCGCTGGAAGAGATGGAGTGGCTGTGTCGCTGAAACAAAAACCTATGAACGCAGAAAGTTGAAGACAATGTCGCGTGTTGTACCAGGTAGTATCTCAAATTTTAAACGATTCTTCAAAAACTGAAGAATCTGATGGCTTTGGGCAAAACTTGTACTTAGTATTTGTTTGCACCGAAACTAAAAATCCACAAGAGGATAGGTGGCAGAAAGTCGCAAAGTTCACACCCTCTAGTGTAGTTTGCGGGTTCGTTCACCAGTATCTCTCCGGCGCCAGACACCCCACAACGAGGGAAGGAACTGATCCTGACGATGATGAGTGCACCTCCTGTCCGCAGTGAGGCAAAAAACACCGCAGAGGGGGGGGGGGGGGGGGG